GATCACAGGTCATCCCCAAGAGAGATAGCTTCAAGTATCTTGGGTCGATGATCCAGGGGGACGAAGAGATCGACGAGGATGTCACTCACCGTATATGGGCGGGCTGGATGAGATGGAGGCTTGCATCGGGAGTCTTGTGTGACAAGAAAGTACCACCGTTACTCAAAGGTAAGTTTTATAGAGCTGTGGTTAGACCAGCCATGTTGTATGGGGCAGAGTGTTGGCCGGTTAAGAACTCCCATATCCAGAGGATGAAAGTAACAGAGATGAGTATGTTGAGGTGGATGTGCGGCCACACTAGGATAGACAAGATTAGGAATGATGATATTCGGAAGAAGGTGGGCGTGACACCTGTGGATGACAAGATGCGGGAAGCGAGGCTCAGATGGTTCGGGCATGTGCGGAGGAGAAGCCTTGATGCTCCGGTGAGGAGGTGTGAGCAGTTAGCCGTGGTGGGTACGAGAAGAGGTAGAGGGAGGCCTAAGAAGTATTGAGGAGAGGTGATCAGGCAGGACATGGTACGACTGCAAATTTCTGAGGACATGACCCTTGATAGGAAGGTTTGGAGGTCAAGCATTAGGGTTGTAGGTTAGGGGGGAGTAGAGCTTTGCGTACTTCATACCGGGGGTGAGGCGGGGTTGGATTAGGGTTGATCTTAGATAGTTTGCAGTTTATGTTGAATTCACACTATCCTTGCTGTTTATCTTAGCCCCGGGCCTTAGTTACTGGTTACTGTTATTGCATGTCATTTATCTTTTGGTTGTTATGCTTCTGTTACTATTATGGTTTCTACCGGAGTTACTAATGAATTGTCTCCTTCTCTTTTTCTTTTTTCTGAGCCGAGGGTCTATCGGAAACAGCCTCTTTGCCCTATCAGGGTAGGGGTAAGGTCTACGTACACATTACCTTCACCAGACCCCACTTTATGGGATTTTATTGGGTAGTTGTTGTTGTTGTTGTATCTAAATCCTATATGCAATGTGATATACACACATGTATAAATGGTGATATACGCAAAATCACCAAATAGAGACCTCTTTGTGAATCTCACACCGTCGACCACTACCACTCTACGGTCTCACACTGGCTGAGCTTTCATTTTTAGTCACAAAAGCCACCATTGCTTCTCATCAGCCAAAAACCCAAACACGTTTTCCCCGTCGTTCTTTAATTCACCCCAAAACGATAATCTTCAACTGTTATATCACCATTACCCTCCCCACCACCAAACCCATTACTGAACCAAAGGATATATAATCTCTGGTAGGGATCGAAAAGCAAAAGGAACAGGATCATCCATTCATTATTCATCCCACTGATTTTCGTGTTTGATTTGCTATAATCTGTACCCTAAACCGTGAGAGAGGAGATGACTAAGAGAGGTGGAGAGGCGGTTATGGGGAGAGAGAATAAATTGGGAAGTAGGGTTTAGGGGATGGGACTATATTTTGCCAATTATTTTACTTAAAAAGCTAATATGGCCGACGAGGTGCCAACAACTAGACATTGGGTTAATTTATACCATTAACTGAGACTAGTTGTCATACAGTGCCAAATTCTCATCTTTTTTGCCTTGTATGTTATAGACTTGTAGTTTTCATGTATTTTTGAGTGTTTTACATCTCAGTATTAAAGTTTTGTAAGGAAGGGTAAAGTGATTTAGGTGAAGCAAAATACTAGTGATGGATGATATAGTTTTTACACACTTTAGTAGAGCTTGTTAACACCATCTTATAATTGACGCCTTCCATAAGTTATTCACATAATTTATTATCTGCTGACTTTTTAAATCTGTATTCGTAAATGTAGCTGGTTCATGCTTTTATCTATTATGATAGCACAAGATGTTAGAGGAATTAATCAGAGATCTCATATTTGTTTTCCTTCCCATCAGCTTGCAAAGAAGGGGGAAAAGTTCATTGAACTTCCATATGTTGTAAAGGGAATGGATGTATCATTCAGTGGAATACTGAGCTACATTGAAGCCACTGCAGAGGAGAAGCTGAAAAATAATGAGTGCACACCAGCAGACCTTTGTTTCTCTTTGCAGGTTAATATTTCAGATTTTGACTTCTTATCTTCAATCATTTATGCCGCGTCAGACTCCAAAATCTGAAAAGAAAACGTTTTGATTACCTTTTCTTTTGTTTGCAATTCTTTTAGGAAACTCTGTTTGCGATGCTTGTAGAGATTACAGAACGAGCAATGGCTCATTGTGATAAGAAAAATGTGCTAATTGTTGGTGGTGTAGGATGCAATGAGCGCTTGCAACAGATGATGCAAATAATGTGCTCTGAGAGGGGCGGCAAGTTGTTTGCAACTGATGACAGGTACTGCATTGACAATGGAGCAATGATTGCTTATACTGGTCTCCTAGAGTATGCAAATGGTGCATCGACTCCGATGGAGGAATCAACATTCACACAGCGATTTAGAACCGATGAGGTCCTTGCAACTTGGAGAGAGAAGGAATCAGCAAAAGTCTGAATAACAGCTGGGTATATTGAGGTATCTTCACTCTGTTTTCTTGGTTTTCTGATTACATTTGAAAGTGACATAGTCTCTGAAGTCTTGGATTTTATTTCATGAAGTTACATTTATTGAGACTAGAAACAACCCAAGCAAATTTGTGTCTTTAATTCAAGGTGCACTTGTTTTATATGGATAAGAACTGGCAAGATTAATACTTATAAGAGAAATGAAATTTTTGTGTAGGATAAGTTTATCCATTGACAAAGGAGACCGAGGTGCCATTGAACACAGTCCAGGGAAAGCATCTATCTATAGTGATAGTGATCCATCATCTTGACTTGAATCTCCTCCATATCTATTTCCTACCCGCTTGTAGCGGTTAGTTAGGCCAGCTAGTTAGAACCTCTCCGCCAATTCTAGATTCTGATTGGACTATGGAGGATCGATATAGACAGGGAAGATTGTTCTTCCACAGCTGGCTTGTTAACTATGATCTCTTGAAGGTTTCATTCTTTTACGCTTTCCCAGCCAACAACCTGCTAACCCTAAGCTTGAAAGCACCTTGGTCACAACTAGGTTCCTATTCAATTGTTCTATTTGGGATGGAAAGAAAAAGATCTGCCTTATGTGGAAAGAATCTCCCAAAAGCACAGGATGGGCCTTCGCTTCCTTTACGTCATCCACCACCTTGTCCTATCCATTCTCCCCAAATCTCTACTCGTAATTTGAAGAAGACGCTATTGTTGGGACTCCTGATTCCAAATGTTTGACCTTTAACCTATCCTATCTGGTGCAACTACTCATGTAGTTCGTCCTACTGTAACTCAAACTAAAAATAGTAAAAATTCTCATGGTTCTTTCTTATGATGAGAATGTATTTTAGTCTTAATCATCGGAGGCATCGACTTATAGAACTTGGAGCATATAGTAATGTATTTCTTGTTTAAGCACATATTTAGATAGATCCTTTTTCCTCTAGAAGAGTTGTTTTCTTCTTATTCGTGCTTGCCGTACATTTTGATCAATAGTCATTAAGATGCCATAGTTGTGAGAGGTATTATGTATGTGTTAGGAATACAGAGGTTGCTTTGTTCAATGTTCAAGATCGTACGTTTCCTGTTAATAAATATTTTTCCTTCTAGCATAGTATATTTTTCACTTTATTTCATTGAGGCTGTTCTAAATTCTATTAAGTCTTTGTTGTATTAAGCAATTGTACAGTTCGGCACTGCTGAATTGAACTCTCTGAAGGTCTTTGTGCTTTCCCTTTATAGGCCTATATTTACATGTTCTAACGAATTTTGCATATTTTGTCTATGGCAGGTGAAGATGTAAATCTTATTTGGTATCTTCAGTTTGTTACACTTTCATGGTCAATCCGTGTGATTGTATTGTACTCTATTTATCTGCCCATGGCGGCTTATAATGGTCCATCCATGTCAACTGTAAGTCGTACATGAACAGTTTGTGTACTAGTTACACATTTCCAGAAGATTATTGTAATATATTGTTATACATTCTTAATACTGGAATTGCCACTACTTTGGGCCCTTTGAAAGCTTATGATCTGCTTGCAGCCTGAGTGCTTGGCCGATTCTTGAGCCAAGGGCGTTATAGCTCTTGAAGCTTTGGAGCTTGTTGTTTGACCCAAAAGATATTGAAACCTTTTTTATTAAATCAATTAAAGAAGATGAAGGGGTAACTCCAGATCTATAAACTAATTAGAAAATAATGCATAAGACAAGATAGAGGTAACCAATCTTATTGATGCTTTTCATTTTTCTCCCATTAATCGGTGGAGAAAATCATTTTACATACTCTCTTGGAGATTGCTTTGTTCTTCCTTCTACTATGAAGGTACAAAGGAGAGGAAAGAGAAAGAGAAGAAGGCCCCCCCTTCCTAGAAGGTCTTCCACCATATATATAATTATGGAATCTCTGCTATGTACTTGGTTCGACACACTTTCATATTACGTCCACCTTCGTCGTCCCCTGTGCGTTATTTTTTGACTTGGCGGGTATTGCGAGTACGGTATTTGGAATAAACCATGTCGTCTTCCACTGCCTCGCCGTTTGGATGGGATGTCGGTTGGATCGATCATAGCGGTCAGATTTTGACCAATACACTTATTTTCGTGTATCAAGTAGTGATGGTGGTAGTTTTTTCTGGTGCTCGTCAGTGCTAGTGGTGGTGGTGGTAGTAGTTGTTCATTGCTACCTGGTNGGGTGGAAGCAGCAAACACTTCTCCTTTTCCTTCAGTATTTTTTCTTTCCAAATAGTTTCTCACCCTTACTGAAATCAGATGCACCAAATATTTGTCAAAACTTGGATGACTTACTGAGTCATCGCAAGCAATGGATCGAGTTAATGCAAATTTACATTATGCCTGAACTTTGTGTGGAAACTTGATTGTTTTCTCGGATCTTTTATTTGTTAAACTTCAAAAGATTTATTAACTCAAAAGTCGAACAGTTGAATTATTTTGCTTGTATCATGAATAATATAATTTATGTTCTTTTGAAGAAGTATAGTGATTGAGTTTTGGTTCTTGTACTCGGTCGTTTAACTCAACCCCTTGACTAGTTGAGCTGAGTTTATTTCTGAGCTTTTAAACAAAGACGGGCACATCCATTAATTTAGTGGAATTGCATAACTATATCTAAAAAGAATTACAATGGAGATGTAGACAAATGTAACAATAGTCACAGGGGGATTGGGTTCTAGTGAAAGAAAAAGAAAAAGTAATGCACTTTGTTTGGTTCTACTGTCATGAGAGATCAACCAAAAGTTTTTTGAAACTAAATTATTATCTTAAATGATCTATGTGATGAATGTTTGCGAGAGTTGGCACAAGAAATATGGGACCGACTCTAGTTGCCTTATAAGATTGGTCAAATGGTGCAGCCTGTTACTACTAAGAAAAATGTGGAATAGCTTATAGATAATTGTATGGGTCAAAATCTGACTAGAATGGTTGTCCTTAAGAGAAATGAAAAGGGGTCGACCAAGCCGTAATCATGCTCACGGGGCGAGATAGCAAAGAGCACCTCGATCATCGCCGGGGTCAAATCGTCGGAAAGCTTACATCACATAACAAGCGTCGTGTTCGAGCAAACGACGAAAGATACAATTGTAAGAAAGTACGCCGATCAAAGACCATCGGATAAAAGGGAAATGAACTATATATATGGGGAAAACTCAGATAAAAAGGGGGATTTTTCAGAGAGAGTTACGAGGACAAGAGTCAATAAGAGGAATCTCTTCATCATCAACAGTTCCCTCTCTTCCCCTTCCTTGCTCCCGTGATTATGACGCATATTTGTCCTAGATGTAAGCTCATCTCTCATGTTTGATATACGATTATTTACGTTAAGAAATATTACGCATTCTTATTCTTCTTCTATCTCGCAGTCTGTATGTTTGGATCTGGAATTAATTATGTTTGGTTAAGATTTACCTTCTATATTATTAATAATTAGTTCGACAAAAGGGTTTTACACTTTTTGGTCAAACAATTTGGTGCCGTCTGTGGGGATTTCTTAGCCAAATTTCTTAGTTTCCTTCAGATCTAGAACCGACGAAATGTCACTACCCACTCGAAAGAGTGGTAAATAAACCTTCGAGACAATCGTACTAATCAAGGTCAGGTTGCTACATAAAAGTAGAAGTTATAACCAATATCCATGCAAAACCCACATCTCGCCTGTAGCGATAGGTTTAGCACGACGTATGCACGTTCAAAATAGGATGGCGGTCATCCAGCGTGGCCATATCCCTATTTGACACATTTACCTTATATAATAACCCGCATTCCCACCCCTTAGGAGGGGACGACAACTTGTTGCGCGGTCCTTTGAAAAAATGGGCACATCATGCCCTACTTTCACATTCCCTCACGCATTGGATGATCTATGAATGAAGTATGACATGTTCCCCTTGTTGTTGGTACAAATCAAACGAGATCGGATCGGAACTCGATTTCAACACTTCAGCAAGCGAGGTGGGCCCAACCCCGTAGAGCCTAGAAGCTGTTAACAATGGAGCTGAACACGGTCGCCAAATCTGAAACCACCATTCGAACACCAAGCAGAGCGAGTAACACTACAACGCCGGTTTTTTCACTGACTCGTTGGTCGAGGTATGGAAAATTTCATTTTAGTTTATCCTCTTTTGTTGGTTTAAACAGGAATGCGAGCACTCGCACGAGCAAGCGAGCAAAAGAGCATTCCAACTAGAAACAATGGAAGGAAAACTATTACAAAACAATTGGAATGTCGCCCACCTCAAATACTTCAACACCCTAAAAAAGGACACCCCTCAAGTCGTACCCTTTTTCCCTCACCCGGGTTTCATCCCAGTTGGGTCCTCTCGGGGAGATTTCTAACCAGGCGATGAAAGGGACATCTCAAAGTTCAAGTATGATTCATCACCCTGCCTGTCGACCACTTCCCCTAGGCCGGGCGATGAAGGGACTAGATACACGGAAACTTCTCTAATATATGTATGAAACGAACATGTACAACATTCTCCAGTGAATGAAACAGAGAAACATTTTGTACTCCCCATCAAAGTATTCTCCAACACAAGCAAAGTAAAGCAAATTGGGACTCACCCAGGAAACACATCGTATTCTCCAATGTAAGTGAAATTAAGCAAACTGGGACTCACCCAGGAAACACATCGTATTCTCCAAATACGAGCAAAATTAAGCAAACTGGGACTCACCCAGGAAACACATCGTATTCTCCAAATACGAGCAAAATTAAGCAAACTGGGACTTACCCAGGAAAAGCAGAAGCTAAGCAAAACTGCGACTTTCCCAGGGAACACCCAATATTCTCTAGTAAAAACAAAATCGAGTACGTCAGGACTCACCCCGACGTATGCACAAACAGTACAGTGACTGTGAAATTCTCCAAAATCTGACAAAAGAAAAAATTCGACCTCGCTCGAATTACAACGGGTTAATATTTCGACCTCAACTCGAAATAACACCCCTACTGCCAAAGGCCATCGCCAAAAGAAAAAATTCGACCTCGCTCGAATTACAACGGGTTAACATTTCGATCCTAGTTCGAAATAGCACCCCTACGGCTAAAGGCCATCGCCAAAAGAAAAAATTCGACCTCGATCAAATTACAACGGGTTAACATTTTGACCCTAGTTCGAAATAACACCCCTAAGGCCAAAGGCCTTCGCCAAAAGAAAAAATTCGACCTCGCTCGAATTACAGCGGGTTAACATTTTGACCCTAGTTCGAAATAACACCCCTACGGTCAAAGTCCATCGCCAAAAGAAAAAATTCGACCTCGCTCGAATTACAGAGGGTTAACATTTCGACCTCAACTCGAAATAACACCTCTACGGCCAAAGACCATCCCCAAAAGAATAATTCGGCCTCGCTCAAATTACAACGGGCTAACATTTCGACCTTAACTCAAAATAACACCCCTATGGCCAAAGGCCATCCCCAAAAGAAAAATTCGACTTCGCTCGAATTACAACGGGTTGGCATTTCGATCTTACTCGAAATAACGCCTTTACAGTCATCAGTCATCGTCAAATAAATAATTTTTTTGTTTTTCTAACTTGTTCAGATAAGTTAGAAATTGACTTCGCTCCAGATTCCAAGTTCGACCCCACTCGAATACGTATGAAAAAGTTGACTTCGCCTAAATTGGCAAGTCTGAGCTCGATCCCACTCAAAAGTTCAAGTCGAAATCGACTTCCTCCGAAATAGCGAATCAGAATTCAACCTCGTTTATATCAAAGATGATTCCACTTAAAGCGACAATTCAAAATTCAATCTCGCCCGAATGTGCAAATCCGAAGCAACTCCATTCGGACTCACACAACGAGACCATACTCGGCCCGGTCAAGGTCGATTCCCAAATCAAAAAATCAGGGACTCGCCATACAAAAATCCGAAGGTTTATGCCAAAACAAAAAGATGTAACAAGCAAGGGGAAGGGAGAGAAAATCAAAGGATATACAACGACGAAACAACTCTTTTATTAATATAAACGTGCACAATAGTCGCACTTTATTGGGCCAAAACAGGCCCAATAAACAAACAAAAAAAAGACAAAAATGAGCAATATATATATATATATACACACATACACACACACTAAAGTAGCAACAATTTTTCACTCGGCGTCATAACCGTCATTCCCCTCATCATTGTCTTCAAAAAACTCCTCCTTAGCATAAGCATCCTCGTCGGCCTTCGGTGTCGCAGGGTTGTAGCCGCAGTTGACACGAGCCTCTCGTGCCTTCGCCCCAACTCATTCATAAGAAGCCTCAAAAACATTACCCCCCTCCCACAAACTCTTGTATATGTCTCGTTGGGCCTCGACATGAACCCAAAGCTCATGTAAGTGGCGAGGAACAGTGGCAGAAGCAGATTCAACTTGGGCCAACAATTGCGCATTTTCAGCCTCGAGTATGGCGACCCGATCTCCCAAGTTTGAAGTTCCCGGTCAATTTCGCCAATGTGGTCTTTGAGCCTCGCCTCCCTTAGCGTGGCCGTTGCCCTCTCGGACTCCTACTCGGATTGAAG